TGGATCTTCCTCTTCTCTCCTCCTCCTCCTCTAAGCGGCTTCCCACACCAATTAGTCTGATGAGGGAATCTTTTCGTAATTAGCGAAGATCATTTCTCTATAACAGGTTGTTTCGTGCGTGGTTCATTGGTGTTCCGGTGATCTTGTAAGGGGCATCTAGTTCCTCTGCTTCGTCGCATTTAAGCTTTGTGGGAATAGATTTCGCGCAATTTGTCGTATTTTTGTGCAATATACTTTTTCTCCTCTGTCTATCTGTCTGTATGTCTGTTATGTGTCTCTTTTCGTCTCCGTCTGCCTTACTGTCTGTCTGTTTCCTACTAACCTTATTTTTTCTATGAATTCAATTCTTTTAGGCGATCTGTCTCTCTAGTTTTTTGAATCTGTGTAGTTTGGAAAACTGTGCCCGCAGCCCACTCTACGTGATTACCAATTGGTCTTTGATGCACAAACTTGGCAAGCGCTCTATACACGAGAGGCAGTCTGTCTCCCTAAATTACTGCAGGTGCTGATTGTCCTCATGTTAAGAAAAGGAGAGAGAGAGAGAGAGAGAGAGAGAGAGAGAGAGAGAGAGAGAGAGAGAGAGAGAAGAGAGAGAGAGAGAGAGAGAAGAGAGAGAGAGGAGAAGCATGTGATATCTGTATATGTAAACATTGTGTGTGTGTGTGTGTGGTGTGTGTGTGCATATATATATATTAATATATATATATATATATATATATATATATATATATACTATATACATATTCTATATATATATATATATATATATATATATATATATATATATGTATATATATATATATATATATATATATATATATATATATATATATATATATATATATATATATATATATATATATATATACATATATTTATATATATATATATATATATATATATATATATATATATATATATATATATATATATAAATATACATACGCAAATAAATGATATGATTAATAATGATACAGTTTGTTTAGTAAAGTTATTTTTACATATGCAAAATTGTCGCTTTACAGTATTGATATTCAATACAGTCTCATACAATAAACAAGAGTTGACATATAATATCCTGTTGTATGTCACTTTGGTTCATATATTTTGGCGTTTGCGTCTTTGCAGAGGGCTTTCTAGTCTAACTCCAGTAGCTGATCTTGATGTTCGCGTGTGTTATGATATTGTATGTATATTATATATATATATATATATATATAATATATATATATATATATATATATATATATATATTATGTATGTATGTATGTATTCCTGTGAGCTGAAGCAGCACTAGGATAGCATCCCACGCAATAGCAGTCGACATTCCTTTACCGTGACGTTAATAAACTCCGTATTAGCCTTCTAACACAATGGCATTTGCTCTCGAACAAACTCATAAAATCACCAATTTTGCAACCACGAACGACACAACGTCCTGCTTTTTATTGGCGCAAACTTACCTGACTTATCGACATATTATTCAATTTTATTCAAAGCTATTTGTTCCGAAAAAAAGAGAAAAAAGAGAGAAAAAAAAGAAAGAAAAGAAAAGAAAATATATATACATACATACTCATAGTCTAGTTGCCTTTAGCAGAAGCAGTAACTGCGAAAGAAACTTCAAAGCAAAGATGGCAACAATACGGAAATGCCATCATTATAATCAATATCTTCATCATTAGTAGTAACAGGAGAATTAGCATTGTTATTACTGTTATTTTTACCATTATTAACATTGCCACTATTGTCATCATTAGTCAGTTTACTGCTGTTAGTCTTGTTATGATATCCCTTATCATTGTTTTTATCATATATTATTATAATCAACATTACTGTCACCATTATCAGTATCATTACTACTGTTATTATTATCATTATTATTATTATTACTGTTCCTTTAACCATTAGCAACAGTGTTACTAATATTATCATTAACAATATTACTGTTGCTTGTTATGTTATTGATTATCTTGATTGTTGTTCTTGTTACGAAAAAAAAAAAAAAACATATTTTTATCATTTTTATTTTTAATATTATCATTATCATAATCATTACTGTTATCATTATCACTATTATTGTTATTATTATTACTATTATTTTTTATTATTATCAGTATTATTATTATTAGTAGTAGTAATAGTAGCATTAGTATCACTATTATACTCTTATTATGATTATGGTTGTTGTTATCATCATCAGCAGCAGCAGCAACAATAGCAGCAGTAACAGCATTATAATTGTTGTTGTTGTTATTGTTTTTATTATAACTATCATTATCATTTTCTTTATCATTATTATTGTTATCATTATTATGATAACAGGAATAATGATAATAATCTTTATCATCTTTATCAACTTGTCGCTCTCATCAACATTAGTATCATCTACATCCTCCTCATCATAATTATTGTGTTAGCAGCACCATTATTGCTATTGTTATCATCGGTATCATCATTATTATTTATAGCACTATCGCTATCAGTACTTTATCTATTT